CGTGCGAAGGATCGTCGTAGGTATTTGAAAAGATATTCCATAATAATAAAACTGTTGAATTGTTATAAAATAAAAATACGAAAATGGTTTATTGAAAAAATTATTTAGAATGTAAAACTTTAAAGCATTCTATACATAGCTGAGGTTGGTCGGGACAATTTGGACAATAAGTTGTTGTTTTCTTCAAATTCTTTTGTGCCTTTGTTCTTTGTCTGTGTCTTTTATTTGCATAACGTAGTTTGTATGCGCGTCTAATGCTTCTTCCGGAATCATTTTTCCGAACGGCGATATTATGCTGACTCCGTCGAAGACAAAGATTTAATAATTTTGCAACTAATAATTGTCTAAATATTCTAATATTTATATTTTTCCTTGTTGCAATTTTGTAAACCGTCAAAGCGTTTACAACAGAAATTCCCAGAAGGAATTGAATGCCAAGTTTTCTGTACCATTTGATTCCTTCTCTAATTGTGATGACATAAGAAACCGGAATAATCTATACCACACTTTCCTTCATTATATTCAACAACAGCTAGTGGTTTTAATGTTGCGAACAAATGAAACGAAAGATCATTCTTAAGACCACCACTTGAGCGACTCGCATTACTAAAATATCGATGAGAGCACCTAGCAGAGAACGCTTGGTACTGCTGTACGCGTGGCCTGATGGAGATTTCTTTGAAAACACGCGTGGCAGTCAATGTGTTAAAGTATCTTACAGTTGAGAAAGGAGAAAATATTTTCAAAGGAGGATTTAAATCGAGGTAAATGCGCGCGCCAAAATTTTAAGCACCCCCCTCCCCTTTTGTTAAGAAAGATTCTAAAACAATAATTTGTTGCTATTGACTATTGATTAATTTTTTAATCGATTGTTAATTGTTCAAAATGAGAAATTTTTCTTTGAACAAGCATACAATCAATGTTTTTGACGGCAAGGATATGTACTGATAAAATACTTAACTGAGAATCTTACATCCATATTTATTTATCAATCTAAAAGAAAGCTTTTTTAATAATTTCTTACGCATTTCATTTTTATGTTTTATTTTATTAGTAATTATTTCTCTGTGGTATCTTAAAATTCTGTTACATTAATGTTAGATTTGTAGTAGATTTAATACAATTTTTCAAATATTTGAACAAAGATATCTCAGGCGTTTATCAAACATTCCATTTTCCAATTCCATTTTTAATTAAATAATATAATATGCTAAAATATGAGCAGTATTAAACAATACTGAATTATTACCAGAATACATATATTTTGAAATATCATTTAATCTCTTTACAATAAGATATTATCTTTTCATCGAATATGCATATAAGATTTTTGTGTTTTATTTGAATTAATAGTTAATTAAAACAAGTTCTAAATGTTGTACATAAAATGTTTTTAAAGTATTTATACAATCTGTATCAAGTTTTATTAGTTCACTAATACAAACAGAAAGTAATTATTATATTTCCTTTCTTCTAATAAATACTGAATGTATTAAGGACTTGTAACAACTTGTTTAAGAACTTGTAAAAACTCTTAAAAACACGTATTTTGTACCATAATTAGATATTGTACAGCTTGAAAAGTATAATAATAATAATTTACAAACATTAATCTGGAATTTGGCTCTTTATAGTTTATAAATTTGATTAATTTGATTAATTTCATTAATGTTGAAGGTACAAAATATCTTGAAATAAATTCTTCCTGCCGTCAAGAATAAACCGTACCTGCCTGAGGAACAATTATTTATGTTAGCAGAGAAATCTGAGCATATGTATATTTGTATAAAAACAAAAAGAGACGAATATGATTTTAAGAATCTTTTATAGCTGTGGCGCGCGTCAGCCTGTAAAATCTGTAAAATAGATAGAAATAAAAAACGACTAATGTAAATAGTGCGTCTGTATAGTGAATTAGTATATATAGTATTCTATTTGACGTTTTTATTAATATTTTTACATCTTTCGATTGTACACAATATTGTATACATCGTACACAAATATTGCGTGTGTAAATAGTGAATAAATTTTAATAAAAATATATGTTAAATTACACTTACGTACGTTTTTGTACCTAAATAGAAAAAATAAATAGTAGTTAAAAAAAATACGAGGAAATTGATTAAAACTAAAGCTTACAATTAATAATATATTTTTTAATTATTATTAAAATGCATAATTTTAAAATTATTTTATCATAAAATAATAAGTATCATATAAAATATGTAACAAAAGTTTTATTCTTTTATACAATTATGCTACATACATAGGATAATACATATTTTTGTTGTAAATGTAAAAAAAATATAGAAGAATTATTTCAGTCTTTAATGCCAAACAAGAATAATAATTTAATAGAATGTATTTCTTCAAGGCTTGTGTAATGGCAGTGCGAGGTAAAAATCATTTCCACATGACATTGTACATTTTATATATACAATAATTTTGAATTTCATTTACTAAATATCCTAAATGTTGTATGGCACAGTCCGATTATAAACTGGAGGAACAGCATTACTTTATATCATTATTTAAAAATTGTAACTTACTAATTTTCATATGTTGATTAACTATTATATAGAAATGTAAATATATAAATACACATTTAGTAATTTTCACTTTCACGGTAGAGCCGTTACATAAAAATGCAAATAAATGCAAGAAGTACTTTTCATTTTCACAGTAGAAATTAAAAAATGTTTTTTTCTATAAATACACATTTTAAATGTTCTTAGATTATTTAATTATTATATGTCATTGCTTATTTTGATTTTATTCTCATTAGAAATAATTTTCAATTGTTCTATCTATTTTTAATTTGTAATATAGAGTTTGATATGTCTTGATTGTAAATATGAAAGTTACTCAACTAACTTCTTATACACTATAAATATATACGTACTTAAAGAAAAAAAACTTCTTTGCAAAACAACTTGGATATCGAATGTTAAAAATCATATACAACTTTTATACATTGTTACAATATTTACATTTTACGATTAAATTCCTTACAAATACGTTACAAAGTTAAGAGGCACGATGGTATAAATTTTTTACAGAAACAAAAAAACCTATTCAAATATAAGTAACACTTCAAACAAATTTAATAATGTTGCAAAAAGATATCTTTCCTCGAAAATCTTCTAAAAGAAGGTATCAAGTAAAATTTAATGAATGAAATTTAATCACAAAATGATAAAATTTTTATCTTATATTATTTTACTTATTAATATAAATAAATAAAAATTGCTTAACATTTACTTTCCTTGATTTCGAATATTTTAAAAATAATGTTTTTGTAATAAAAAATAATGTCCACTTATAAAATATAAACGTTTTAATAAAATAAATTTTCATTTTTAAATTATTTCTAAAGACTTACCAAAAGATCTCATTTTTTAAAAAATAGAATATAAACAATTTTTAATATATTCAAGGAACAGGGGAAGGAGGTGGAGGAAGTGGACTAAAATATGTAGAAGATCGTGAACTAGGAGAGGGAGGACAACTAATTGCAGCATCACTTTGGTAAACAGATCTTGGAGTAGGAGGTGGAGGATAGGGTTCACTTTCATATCTATATCTTGCTGGGTAATTGCTGTCTGATTCGTCGCAAACATCTGTACTGCAAGGAGTTGGAGGTGGAGGCTGATTTATGCTCCTATAATGCCTATAAGGTTTATACCTAGATGCATTACTGCTTGAACATCTAGTAGAATTGGCTGTTGTTGCTGGACTCGGAGGAGGATTCAATGTTTCTTGTGGGTAACCTCCTGTGGAACTACCTCGAGTTGAACTGGAAGCTCCTTAAAGCAGAATATATATTTATTATTATAATCATAATAACGGATAATATTATTCATCATAATACACTTTCTAATCTAAATTTCTACAAGATGGCAAAATGTCTACAAAACCAATTGTTCTATATACTATTATAACAAATCATTTGTACTACTTTACTTACAATGATTGATTTATGATTTAATAATTTAATTATGATATATTAGTTTGTAAATTAACAGGTTACCAGTTATATGGCTGCGGTCGTAACTTGATCCTATACTGCTTCCATTTAACATTGACATTCTTACAGTTTCCATTCCAATTTTCAAATCTTTCCTACAATTTTTTTGCGCGAACATTGGTTTTGCTAATCTTACTGGTTTGGGTGATAATGGATCTCCAGCTGAATCATGTAAAATATCAGGCAATTCTTCATTGTTTATGAATTTTCTTCTACAATAATAAAATCCGAAAGCAATTATAGCAATTGTTGCAATCAGTCCAATAGGTACAATAATAACATAAGTGATTTTTCCAGATTCTAATGAATTATTTTCTTGTCGAGGATTATTTGCAGGTGTACATGCAGATGCAAGTTCATCGCTTCCGTCGGCACAGTCGTCCCAACCATCACAAAGCGCTGAACCAGAAATACAAACACCACTTCCAATACACTGAAATTGACCTGGACGGCAACAATGAGCTTCGTCTAGGCCATCATGGCATTGAGCTGTTCCATCGCACACCCAGGACATGTCTAACAATTTTAATAATAATTACAATTTCACTATATTTAATTCGTAATTTGAATGATTTGATAGCTCAATATTCTTACCAATGCAATGACCACTTTGACATTTAAATTGTTCACGACTACAAGCTGGACAACCTAGTTCATCACTTCCATCAGGACAGTCGGTTTGGCCATCGCATTTCCATGTAGCAGGTATACAATCTTTTGTTACTGCAGAACTAGGTGCAGCACAAGTAAAATGATCCGTTCCACAGGCTGGCGCAGCTCTACAAGTTTTTTCATCTTCAGATAAAACCAAAGATTTTGGACAAGAACATCTGAAAATAATGTCTTTTATATACTTTAATATAAAATTTTCTATGCAATGATTTTCTTGCTAGAAATTTTAAAAAGAGAAGTCGCTAATTCGTCCGATCGGACATTATTGCTATATAAAGGATAATAATGCCTAATGCTATCGGCTACCGTTATGACAACGGCTGTTTATATGAACCATTTTGAGATCATTCTTATATCCATACATTTGTTTTCAGTTTCCACATATGCAGGCATACATATGTGGCACCTCCTTCTTTCGAAAGAGACTTCCCCTCTAGTGAAAGAATTATCCTATATGAAGAGTCCATAGGAAAAAGTGGAAATGTATAGTTTTAGCATTTTTCAGATAATGAAATTTTGTTTTTCAATATATGTCACAACTTCGTATTTCATCATACATAAAAAAAGAAAAAAATATCACTTTATTCTGCATCATTTGCAACTTTTATTTATAATTTTAAGTAATATGTAACACATTAAACTCTAAAAGATAAGAAGTATTTAATTTTCGTGATATACCTCAATTTTTTATAACTACCGTAAAACTAAAAAAATTTTAATTCGCAATAGCCAATGATAAAGAGCAGCAATACGAAAAAATATTAAACTCGTTAAAATTCGTTAAAATCGACATTCCCCCTTTTCCCCGTACATTCTTCATATGGTATTTATATTTTATTTGCTGATCAAGAGAAATTAAAAATGTACCTAGAAGAAGTGATTCCTATACAAAAATGTGAGCATCCTCCATATTCCCGAAAAGGACTACAAATATGTGTTTTCATTACATCATCTTGTGGAGTATTTATCGCAATTAAATCTGTAAGTACTTTATTCATGATTGTTTTTCTTCCATTTCCAGATTTATTAATACGCTCTAAACTTGATGTTTCCTTATCAAACCAATAAATAAAATCAAAAAAGATAGACAAATAAACAGTTGAACCTTGTCCAACGGGAGAAACCAGAATTCTTCTATTGTTCCCATCAAAATCTGCACATTCAATCTGATTTCCATGTGCCCAATATACAATGCTTGAAATTGCATCTACTGCAATACTTGTTGGTTGTTCTAGATCAGTCGCTACTACAATTCTCTCTTTTCCATCCATTTTACTGCGCATTACTCTCATTTTTCTTCCAATATCTGTCCAAAAAAGTAATCTTTTTTCTGAATGTATTGCAATATTTCTTGGTTTCTCACCATCACCTTTGACTACAACACCTAGAGCGGAACCATTGTCAAGTTTTGTAACATTGATCGCATCATTTGTGGCACATGACCAGAATAGTAATCTTCCCAGTGAATCTAAAGCAAGATCCACTGGATGTCCAGAATTTCCAGAAATCATTATACTGGAATGTGTTTTATTTTCCAAAGTTCTCCTAATAGATAAAGTTCGTCCATCTATCCAATAAATGTGTTGAGTTATAGGATCAAATTCTATAGATCGTACATGCTTCAAACCTTGTATTCGGAGAACTACATCTGGACAATCATTTGTATCAGGAAGAAAGCGAAACATTGCGTTGCGTAAACTATACATCATAAAGTTTTTTGGTGCTGTAACAGAAAGAATAAGTTATTAAATTTAAATTAATATACATCGCGCATATATTATGATATAGTATATCAATAACAGAGAATTAATTAAGAATAATTTTATATTTATATATTTACATCGTTAATTTAACCAATTGAATGTGATATCTTATATGTGTGTCTTCGTTACTTTTGAAGGTAGTATTAAGTAAAAAAGGAACTTGTAAGGTATCAAGGAGTACAGATTATGCTGATATTTATTTGACCTTGTGATAACTTTGACCAAAAAGGAAAAAGGGAAAATAGGAAGAAAGAAAGAAAAAGCAAAAAAGAGAAAAAAAGAAAAGGAAGAGAAAGGCTACTTTTCAATTTTCAAATGGGAACCTATATTTTTTAGTGCATCAAGATATAAACTTTTAAAGTTGATATATTATCGAATGTACACTGTCAGAGTATTGATCGAACGAACTCTGTACATCACAATTGTTTTAAAATTTCCATAGTATTTTCAAAATCATCGCAAAATAGAATAAGTATTCAGTATTATATAGTATATTCAGTATTGGTATTTAAGTATAGATATTTCAGTATTATTTGACTTCTAGATATCCTACAATTTTCATTTAGAGATCTCATCTGTATCTACTATATTTTTAAAAATATTTATCCATTTCTATTATTTAAATTTAGACATGCTGTGTATATTGTGTAAACTTATATGCGCAATTTCCGTGCAGAACATTATTATATCATTTTACAATTAATGAAAAAATATTACAGAATAAATATTAAATATATTTAAACAATTCAAGATGTTGTATTATTTTATCTAATACTGTTTGTTTCGTAACTCATATTTTTATTACAAGAGCAAATTATATCTTAAATCATAGAATTTGACGAAATCTCTACATCTAATTGAAATACATTTTTTTCTTATTTTTATCACATCTACTGCATTTAATATTGAACGTAATCGAGAAAATTTAAAATAGTTTAGTATGATTAAAGATTTTAGGGAAATTATAAATCAAATTTTTTTAATTTAAATATACTGACCAATGCAAGTTTTATTATCCTCTGATAAATTGTAATGAGTAGGACACCCACATTTGAAAGAATTTGATATGCTTTCATTATCTCCGGGTAAAGCGATACAAAGATGAGTGCAGTTGCCATTTTTTAATGCACAGGGATTCCATCCTGCTTGTCTAGAAGCATGGAAAACCAATAAATCTGTTACAGATTCTAACTTATTATGTATCTTCACTCTGCTTAATCCAGTAGTCTTATTAGCTTTCTCTATGTCACCTATTAATTAAATGAATTAACATCAAACTTTGTACAAAATATCTATAAATTTCGGAAAATATCTATTGAAATAAAAATCGAAATTTGTTGCAAATAATAACGTGACGCATATGTAATAGTAACTAATAGTAAAAATAGTAATGTAATAGTAACATAGTTGATAATTTTATGTACTTTTTTACCTGTATTCCAATCTGTCCAATAAATGTAATCTTGATACTGAGTAATACTAAATGGATATACAATATTTTCTGTTATAATTGCTACTCTTTTTCTTGTAAGCAGATCAAAGCTATCAATAGCTGGAGTATATAAATCTGCCCAATATAATTTTCGTGCTGAATGGTCAATTGTTAGACCATTTGCTTTTCCAATATTGGAAAGTATTATTTCACGATGCATGCCATCTAAATATGATCTTTCTATACTTCCAGAATTTCCCCATTCTGTCCAATATATATGGCTAGAAAACCATCATGGTGTTAAAAACTTAATTATACAGGAAATATTTATTTCACAAACGCTTTTATAAACACATGTGAAGTTGTCACTATAATTACCCTCTGCTAGGATCAAGAGCTAAACATCTAGGTTCAAAAATGTTACTCCAAATGAGGACTTTTCTACTACAACCTTCTAATCGAACCATTTCTATTCTTCGTGTTCCTGTATCACTCCAGTATAAATTATGACCAATCCAATCAATTGCTAAACCTTCAGGTGTTTCTAAACCAAGATCAACGACTCTTTCTATATCAGATCCATTTATGAAAGCTCTTGTAATTGTTTTTAATTTAACATCTGTCCAATAAATACGATTGTCTGCTATATTAAAGTCCAAGGCGCTAAAAAAAAATAGAATGACAGTCTTTGGGTTTTTATAAAAAAATTTTAATATAAACAGATCATAAAACTTTTTGTTTATAAGCATAAGCTTACCTTGCATCTTTAACTCCAGTTAATGGAATAATATTATCATTATTTGCATTTTCGATGCTAATTCTGCCAATATTTTCTTTCCTAGCAAATAACATAAATGCATCTGGCACAAAACAAGTTTTTTTATCTTTAGTTAACTCATATCCAATTTGACATGCGCACACATACTTATTTCCTGGTCGATTTAAACACAAATGACTGCAACCACCATTACTTTTCACACAAGGATTTGTACCATTAACTTTTCCTAAATGCACTGCTTTTAAACCCATGACATTTGGAACTTGATCAACAATAACTTCTCTTTCACCACCTGTGAGTTTATGTGCTCTATCCACACTTCGTCTTTGCCAGTCAGTCCAATATAGATAATCTCCTAATAAACTTAAACCAAAAAGGTGTGGAAGATTATCTGTAATTACTTCTCTTCTATCTGTACCATCCATGTTACACACTTCAATCTTATCTGTTTTTGCATCGCACCAATATATTTTCCATCGTGCAAGATCTAGAGCAATTCCATTTGGCCAAACAATATCTTTATTTACTAAAAGAATACGTTCTGTACCATCCAGATTACTTCGCTCTATTTTTGGACGTTTTTCATTCCAATCTGTCCAAAACATCCATCCTAATTCTGGAGCTAAAGCAATTGCTCTGGGTTCGATTAAATCTTCATTTATTAATACTTTTCTACTTGTACCATTTAACCGGGCTACTTCAATTCGATCTGTTCCTGTGTCAGTCCAATAAAGATTCCGTGCTAACCAATCAACAGCTATTCCATCAGGATTTTCCACTTCTGTTATTATAATATTTTCTTGATTGGAACCATCAAGCGAAGCTCTACGAATTGCACGAGCTTCTTCATCTGTCCAGTAAAGCATTTCTTGCACAGGATCAAAGTCTATTGCTATCGCATGTTTAATTCCTAAGTATATTGAAAAATTATAATATATATAAATTTCTTTGAAAAACAAATTAATCGATGAAAAAGATATTGAGGGATACCTGTTAATGGTAATACAAAATTAGTATAATCTGGTGAATCTAAAGAAATGCGACAGATTTCATTTCTTTGAACTATTAATAACAATTCTTCTGGTCCTTCTGCACAAGTCAAATTATCCACTAATTTTACACCTGTAGGACATGCACAGCTATATCCAGGTTCTGTCATACTTAAAAGACACAAATGTGAACAATTTCCATTATTTCTTTCACAAGGATGACTCCCATATGGTTGTCTTCTAACATCCCAAACTTCTATGTCACCAGGTATATATTCTCCATGTAATAATTCTCTAGGAAGTGCTTGAGTTTGACGAACATCGTATGAATGTACACACCATGTTTTCCAATCAGTCCAATATAATTTGTGATCGAAAAATGTCACTGCAAACGGATAATCTAACCCTTTTTCTATGACTTTCCTTCTATTTTTTCCATAATAATCCATCACTGCAATAAATTTAAGTCTTCCGTCTACCCAATAAACCAATTCATTTTCATAATCCACTGTTAAACCGTTTGGCCAAAATATATCATCGGAAATTATCACTTCTCTCGTTGATGGATCTCCATTCATTGCAGCTCTTTCTATTTTAGGTACATCACCCCAATCAGTCCAAAATAATATACTTTTCATCGGTACAAGAGCAATAGCTCTTGGCTGATAAATCTCTGTCCAAAAAAGGACTTTTCTGTGACGTCCATCAATACTGGATACTTCTATTCTATTTTTTTCTCCATCTGTCCAATATAATTTTCCTGTGTACCAGTCACAAGCTAAACCATCAGGAGAAATTAAACTGGAATTTACTACAATTGTTTTTTCGCCAGTATGGGTGCCATTTGTTTGAATGCACTGAATTATTTCTAAACCACTATCAGACCAACACACTAGTTCATGTTCAAAATAAAAATCTAATGCTGCACCTTCAGACAGATCTTTTATAATAGTAGTTACTTTATTAGTACGAGAGGCATTGGCCATTCTAATATCTTTTTGTGTGACAAAGAGAAGAGTTGGCGATCCTAGAAATAATAATTCATATTATTAAAATTAAAAAATTCTGCATTATTATTATAAACTTAGATAGTAGAAAATTGAAGATAAAATTCCGAAATTTATGACAAAAATAATATCATGGGTCATAGTGTTAAGCAATATTGTTATATTTGATTAAAAGAATTGTAGCACAAAGTTGGATAATAAATATTATAAAAAATGATATACACCAAAAGTAGTAGCAAAAAATTAACTTTATGTTATTATAAAATCTAGATAATCCTTAAATTTTTTATATTTTACAATTAGTAACATATTATGCAGTGACATTATAATAAAAGAAATAAACTATAACAAGATATTTAGGCATAATTGTTTAATAACAGATGACCTATAACATAACCTCTATATTAAAATCATGTAGAAAACAACACACTAAATGTTACTTACCATTAGAGAGGAGGACAAGTTTGAAAAAGCATGCAATCAGAATAATTATTAAACTGATAATAGCCATTCTAACAATTGTAAAAAGATCTTTAATCACTTAAAGCACACGGCCGTGACATATACGGGCATAGCCGATACGTCCGTCGTTTGCCAAATTGCTTATTTTAGTCATTGATCTTTACGGATTCAAGCTACGATATCTCATAAGAAAATATATATCTTATAAAAAATATATTACACTCATTTTGATTATAAAAAGATTTACTCATTTTCTATCGGTAAACGGAAGAAAATTTGTACGTTAAGGGGTTAAATTATGGACATTACGAGGAGCACCTTCGGCGTCGTATGTCAATTTCTATTCATGACGAACGATCGATCCGCTCCTTATACAATTTATACAATTTTCATCTGTTGAATCAGATTTACGTTGTCTTTAACTCAAGATAAACACTAACTTATTCTCTGTCGCTCGTATAAACTGTTAACTAAGCAGACGCTTCCTTAGGAGCCAGCAGTTCCCGTAACGGCCGTAACCAATCATTACTATCCCTTGCATTTACAATTTTCAATTGACAATGAAGCTTAACTGAACTTGACGTCACGAAAACTGAGTATGTCAAATTTTACTATACTATATATTAAATGCTAATAGAAATATTTCCCTACTCATAACATTTAAAAAGAAAGTAGTTATTTCTTGTTAAATCATTAAGACGTTTATGCAGATATTTTGCACGACTTAAATTTAAAAAATATTTTTCTAACAAATAAACAATTGAAAATTAATATATAGTATATATTTTTATAATCTTTTAATAACAACATTTTCTAAGTGCATGTTAACTTACAATTAGTTTAATCTTTTACTCGAAAATTATAAAGTATAGCTTATTATTTAATATTGCATATGTATAACATTAACATAATGTTTCTTTTTGGTTTTAATGTTGCTTCGATATTGAAGATCATTAGCAATACTATCTAACAAGATTATAATCTTTGGCAGTCTTGTTTCGGACAGAACAAAATTCTTCTGTTTTATTAATATAATTAAAGTAGAAAACTACTAAAATTTTAGGATGAATTATATTTATATATACATGTATATGACCGTAACCATAGTGGCCGGTGACACCAAACTCCCTCTGTGTTCTTACCTATAATTAACTCTAGTTCTAGCAGCGATTCATAGATGTCGCATTTAATGTTTTGATTGTAGTAGTAAGCGTACAAATGGTCATGTCCTCGCGCACGCGGATCTCGAGTTACATTGTTGATAACAGAATATAGAATTATTAAGAGGCTAAGTAGTATATGATATACAATAAGTTACAGAATAACGACAGATTATACAATTTTCCATATATCATAATTTTTACATTGGTTTTAAATGAAAAACAATGAAAATTATTAATCTAATTATTTATACAACATATTTATACAACAATTATTTGTGTTTATAGAGATTAATGTTCTCAGTACATTTATTTTCTAAATTAATACATAAGTTTATAGGTATACAACATATTATGTTTCTGTATTTCACAAAGATTTATGGATTAGATATATCATTACTTAAAAACCACATTGATATTCAATTCTATTATAAACGAAGTTCAAAAAAGATTTGAATATATATGTAGTGCATTTTAAATAAATTATAAAGGCAGCATATTTTAATACGTTGTTAAATTAATATTAAGTTTGACTATATTAGTTAACAATTATTATTTATCTGATTCTCACATGTTATTCACTTAATTACTTTTATTGAAGTCATTTGTATTTTTAGTGTGGAACATGTCTAATATTATATCCATTATAAATAGAAATCATTGTTTGAAACAAAACGTGTTGTTACAAACTTGTGTAAGGCATTCAAGTTCTACAGAACAAACGCCAGCTACGTATTGTTCGGAATTAGTTAGGTATTTTATAGTTACTGATAATGAATATATATATAGTAGTTGACAGTCATAGTTATTTTAGATGTTTACATGCTGTTCATTTTAAATGTTTTATTATTTCTAGCATTATTTGTTATTATATAAGTGAACAATTAAATAAATGAGAAAATGTTAACAATTATACTTTGAGAAAACATTAAATTTCCCAAAGCTGTAAAACAATTAATAAATAATCAAGGATATATATATAGAAAATCACTAAATAAATTGTTACTTTTTACATTGTTAATTTCTTTCAGAAAACATGATTATGAAAACTTCCTGTGTACATTGCTATTATCAAACAAAAATAAAGCGGCCGCATTTGTAATTCGTGCATTTAATGTTGAAGTAGCTCAAGTAAGAGATCAAGTGCGTGATTATAGAATAGGAGAAATGAGATTACAATTTTGGTCAGATGCAATAAATAATACATATAAAGGAAATCCTCCAAGAAATCCTGTTATGTTGGAGTTACATAGAGTATGATCTTATTTTCTTATCTCTTTGGTTCTCTGTACTATTTATTGTCCCACAAATTATAATAATTGTAAGAAATTTTTGCAGATTTTACAGAAACATTCTCTTTCTAAACATTATTTCAAACGTTTAATTGATATAAGGCTTGATAAACTTCGGGATTATTCATTTCATAATATGAGTGAAATAGAAAAATATGCGGAATACAGTAGTTCTTCCATTTACTATCTTCTTTTACAAGCACACGGTGTAAATAATATTAATGCTGATCATGCTGCCAGTCATTTAGGGAAGGCACATGGCATTGTCAACTTACTTCGATCGATTCCTTATAATGCCAGTAAAAGAGTGAATATGTTACCACAAGATATTTTAATGAAACACAGTGTTTCTACAGAAGCTGTATTACAGGGCCAATCCAGTAAAAATCTTCAAGATGTAATATATGATGTAGCTTCCTATGGAAAATTACATCTAGATGCTGTAAGTACATATCAAGTGCAGAATTAAAATGGAATGGATAAAGTAGAGAATGAAAAAAAGGAATGGATTACATTTGATCTTTTATATTTTAATATACTATAAAAGTTTTCTTATTTTTAGACAATTTCTCTTAAACATAGTATGGGAAAAGAAGCAAATTTAATCTTTTTACCAATAATTTGTTTGCAAAAGTATTTAAATAAATTAAGAAAAGCAGACTTTGATGTCTTTAATGCAAAACTACAGAAGAAAGATAATTTACTTCCTCTATACTTGTATTGGAGAAGTTTTATGTATTAAATTTGACATACTTTTAGTTAAGATTATCTTTTGGTTAAAGTATTGTAGAATATTTGAAATAATAATTATATCATAATACAGTTAAACTAAATATTATTTTAGTACCTTATAAGAATAAGAGAATTTCAGCACATTATTAATTTTAACAGTTTACTTTTGTAATATACGTTTTAATTATTAAGTCTATATAGAATATATAGGAGTAATGAGAAAATTAATTGACAAACCTTTTGATAAAAACTTTTCTCCATATTTTATTAGAACAAATCTGTAGGATTAAAATAATTAAGTAATTTACATTGTGTGTGTGTGTTTGTGTGTATTCTATTCATTTTTGTTCAACATTACGTGCTTTTATGGGAACTCGTATCTTTTTAAAACTGAGAGTAATAAAGTAATTCTGATTGTAAAAACCATCTGAAGGATAACGCAAAATAAAAATTTGTATTGGACAGTGTAATATTGCATAATCTATTTATAGTAATTAAGCAACAGTTTCTAAAACTTCAACTAAAATATATCTGTTTTATACATTATGAAAATAACTTGTATAATTTTCACATTCCATTTCTGTAGTATTCAAAGATAAGTCACCAGTACTACAAGGTATTGTAGGTATATTTGAACCTTGAACAGTGAAGCCGTGATAATCTTCTTGTTCTGATTCTGTAGAACATGGTAAATTCAAATGGGTAGATGCTAGTAGTTCATTTGTAGATTTGTCCTGTTGTGTGTCAAAATCACTTTGTGTATCCAAACTTATAAGACTTGTTTCATCCTCTGCTTTGCTTACATCGAAACTGTCATCACCAATGAAAGAAGGAAAATCAAAAGTGGGAGATGGTGTAATACAATCTTCTATTAAAGAAGTTCTCACGTCGTTTTGTGGTGTGGAATTATTAATTGTGGCAGGGCAGACCTGTTGTTACGAGTAACTATTTATAATGAATTTTTTAATTAAAAATTTGTTAATTAAAAAGATTTCTTACTTGTGGAATAATTGGAGGTGGTAACTGATAACTTTCAATATCTTCACAATCTAAATTAGTAGGCAATCTTTGGCTATGTGTAATTAACAATGGAGTTCTGTCTAAAACCGTGTTCACTTCTGACTTCATTTCATCCTGAAATTGTAACATCTTTTCTTTTAAGTTTAATGCTTCAGTCATTATTTCTGCAGTTTTGGCTTTCATTTCATCAAGGAGGGTTATATCTTCGCACATTAAGTGCAGACTCTGCACATACATGAAAATAAATTATACTAAAAGTTATTATACTAATTAGTAATTTAATATCATTAAAGAATAATGTAGTATGTACTTCACATATCATTAAAGCAGATTCCCATGTATTAGCAGGTACACGTTCTCCGGACATATAAGCATTAAAATCTTTTTCGTCCATATTTAATGATTCAGCTGTCAAATTTTCAATAAAAGATACAGCACAACACTGAAATTATTATTATTATTATTATTATTATTATTGTTGTTGTTGTTATTTCATTACCTTAAATGTCATATAAGGAAAGCTAATTGTTTTTATTCATTGATTGTTTCATTATAAGATAGTAGTAACATTCTTGATAAATATTAAAATAAATGTTACCAGATTTGTGAAGTAATATCCACCTTCCCCTGTCATTAACCTGCTTGCATTACAGAACCTAGTAATGAAATTGATGTTACTTTTAAGACGAGCAGGATTAGCTTTTAGAACAATGAAAATTAAGGCAGGAAGGAATTCATCTGCAGATGCAGGCCCACCAACAGATTGTTGTAACATTACAAATATATTTCGACAACAATAAATAACGCAAGAAAGCTTTTCTTGTGGAGCTTTTGCGGAATCCATATTTAATAAATCTACAACAAATTAGGAAGCTATTATCAAATAATTGGTGAATAAATCTAACACATTCAATAATTGGAAATGTTGGAAATTAACATAACTGATTAAAACTTTTTTAATAACAAACCAGTTATGGAAGTATAAACAAGTTCTCTAACTTCAGAACTGGTTTCATGTATTCGACATTCCAAATTTTTTCCACTAACCCAGTTCAATTGCCGAATTCTGTAATTATCATAATTGTCATTCTATTTTATCAGAAATGTTATTAATTTGATTTATGAATAAGGCGAACCTCTTCTGTATTGCCAAATCTTTTTCTTCGTCGTTTGTAAAAGGTGGACAAAACAGAATTCTGTAGAGCAAAGTCATTGCATATCTTTCTACATAATCTAATAATTTTTCTTTAACTTCTGGCGATATATCTGAAATAGTAAATTAAAAATGTTCGTGTTTAAGATACTAATTTGTTAATGTGTAGATCATTTTAATATAAATCTATTTTTTCAATACCTGCATATTTAACACTATTTTCTAAACGTTTAGCAAATACTTGATAAAAAGTTTGTGTAATCTCTGAAAGTTCCTCTATTCTCTTCACATCTTTATTCTGCAGTATCTCAATTATAAATGAGTGCATACACTTTCTAACATCTTTTTCTACTGGTGTTTTAGCAATTATACCTATTAGGTCGCGGTTGTCAGCTTTTACTTTTTCAAGATCAGGATTATCTTTTGTTAATTCATGAAGTAATTCTTGGTACCCCTGTACTTTAGTAAAAATCAAAACATTCAGAATAATGTAAGTAATGTAAATAACATTTACAAAAAATTTGATAAAAGAAAGTATACATAAAATAACAATTAAATTTTTTTTAATATATATTGAGTAAATGTTTTACAAAAATCAAATACAAAGTTAAATATACTACAGGACAAATGTACCTTTTGCAACTGGTTTACGAAAAGATATATTTAATAACTTATACTTTTTCTCTTGTTGTACTTTCTTTTCCTCATATTTTTGATGTGCACTAATTGCATTCTTGTTAGAAGAGGCACTGAAACATTAATCAGATTGTAGCAATAAATATAAAAAATATACAAATCCATATATTTTAAGAAATAATTAATAAGTAGATTATTAACTTTTACATGAAAATAAATATAGCATTATATTAAAGCACAAAAAATTTGATGCACAAAAGAATGAAATCTAAATAGTACAATTTCTAATCGTTTTTCATGTATAAATACATGCATTATAAACATATGTAGTGTCAATTGAAACCTAATTCCATGTTAATTATCATTTTAATGCAATGTAATTGTTATCGCAAAGTTCACAATATAAAAAAATAACATTTCTAAAATTTTTACATTTACATATAGACAAATGGCTTTAAAAATAAAAAAAAAATTTGGTATAATATAAATTGGCCTAATATAAATTGATCAATAAACGTATAAATCGTACCTCTGTCCGCAAACATTACATTCTGTTTCTGATCTTTGTTTTTGTAAATACTCTCGATAACATTTGCTACAATAACCTTCCCATTCGGCATTTCCATAAAATCCACAACCATTTTTACATTTAAGATCAGCTTCATCGATTCTTAAAGTGGGTGTTTTTATAGAGTACATTTTAACAAAACTTCTTGGATATTTTTATAATTCTTCTTTCTGTATAATTTACATTTTACTTGTACAACTCAGTTATTTCTATCTTTGACGCGGCATCAAGTTATGCATACATAGTTAAAAATTTGGACATATGACAAACGTGAAAACGCATGCGTAAACCTTTCTGAAAAGTATGTGTATACATACATATATGCATACTGTATCACTAATTTATATCAATATTTATAAATGTGATTCTTATCCAATATATTCGAAATTTTAATTTAATATTTTAAGTTATATAGACAGGTGAATTTAGAACTCTCAATTTGATAAAAACATAGTCAATAATGATCATCTTACTATATAAATATTTAAATTATTATTAATTTTATTTATTTATTAGAACGCATAAACGATTCTTATGTATGTATAGGCATATATAATTAATATGTAAAGAATATGATTATCTATAGTTATATAATGTCTTCAATATATAAAAGCTTCAATGAAGCTTAAAGTAAAAAGTTTGAAACATTTATATTACATACATGTAAAAGAAAATTTCTGTATAGAATAAAATTATCAGAGTTGAATTATAATTAAATAACTTATAATTAAATAACAGATTTTTATAATTTTAAGGAACTATTTATAATTTTTAACGTATAATAAATATTTCATGATTAATAATTTTTAAATGTCTAAACCGGACAAGTTTACCTCTTAAAAAACATTTTTAATAAAATCATAGGAAATGCGATTGTTTTGAACTTTGCCGCTCTTTGTATTCAGGAGTATATGGTGAAAAATACCTCTGTATTTGAAAAGAGGACAGGGGTTATAATTTAGTTCCTCATTTAAAAAGTAAAAGGTTAAATGTCTTTTATATAGTGTGAGAGATTTTAAATATATATAGCAGAATGATGCACTGTGTAAGAACGTTTACTTTCAAAAAGGTATATTTGCGTTTATAATAAAGAGATGTTAATTTAACCTCAAATATTTAAAAACAATAAGTAATTTTAATTTACCATATTATAAATAATTTCTTTGATTATTGATAAATTTTGTTCTTTTATATATGAAATATTGTGACTTTTATTTATTGATTTAGTTTTATATTCATAGTAATAGTATTTGTGTCTACATAATCGATTATGATCTATTTAATAATCTACTTTACGTAAGTCTATAATTATATATAAATTTTAATAATATACGGAGCATTTTTATATGTATACATACGTTTAAATATATCTTATAATCTTATGTCTTTTCATTTATTTTCTTGTGAAAATATAAATTCTAAATGTAACTGTTATAATTTTATATTTATGGTATCTAACTAAATTATTCTTTCTTGATTTGATGGTTGATATGAAATATTTATGACAGAAGATACCATTAGCGTTGACATTAAAATATATCACAGAATGCAAGCTGGCTGATAATAGTGGCATCAACTTTTTAATCAGACCTCAATCTTATCATTTTTATAAGAATGTGCATACGTCTAAGAGTTTAGTTAAACCAATAAGTCAAATTGGAATAATTAAAACATTGTCACATAAGCTTGATCTTTTTAAAAAAAAAACTGTGAGTATGATTATTCATTGTAATTTTAATGTCTCCAAATATAATATCTATATATTCGTAATATTCGTAATAATGTAATAATTATTTATATTTCTTTGTATTTTAGCATTTAAATGAATTGGGTTATGATTTGTATGGTGACATTCCTGATGGACTCAATTATTCGATATTTTACAAAGGCATGTTATTGCCTTTAATTTCTTATTAATTCCATTTGATGTGATTTGTTTAAGTGAATTAATTTTTGTAATTATTTAATCATTATTTTTATTTATTAGGTTTCAATATGCCAGATACATTTTTCTCTTGGTTCCTAGTCACAGAATTGCATGTTTGGATGTTAATGGTACGTTTCATGGCTGAAGGAGAGAAGGGCAAATTAGTTATAAGCAAAATGGTCGAGGCTATGTGGCATGATGTTCTTATAAGAGCAGAATTACTTGGTGTGAGTAATCAATAAATTGCGTGTTGTTATCTAGTTCTAATTTATCTTAATTTATTTATTTTTATATAGAAGTTTCATATCTCTAGTTTCATTTTTATTTCATTAAATTTAACTTCCACTAATCAGCTCATAATGTAAAATACTTACAATTTTTTATCACTAGCCAATGACTCCAAGAACAAAAAAAAGACAAGTAGCGGAATTGTCATATCAATTTAATGCAGCTATAGTTGGTTATGATGAAGGAATCATGTCAGATGACAAGGTACTAGCTAGTGCATTATGGAGAAGGTTCTTTTGCTTAGAATGTAACAATCCAGAACATCTAGAAAAACTTTTAATTTATGTTAGAAAACAGGTAATTAAAACATTGTCCTTTAATTAAATATTATATATTAACTCGATCATTGTGTTTTTAGATTAATATGTTTGATAAAATTCCATCAGAAAAAGTTTTTGATAGATCAATAGCAAAATGGGTAGATTTGTAAGGCATCACATGAAGATCATTAATACTATTAAGAATTTGTAAATTTTAATTAGGTAAAATTCATATTATAAATATATTAAACTTACAATATAGCAAAATTTGATTTTTTATTTCAATTTTAATTTCAATTTTTTAAAATATTATCACATAGTTCAGTTTTTGAATGAACAATTATACGACATAAATACTGTTTCTTACAGTTCATATCACAACTTTCTTGCAATTTAGGTCCTGCTTGTTTGTAAAAGTTCCTACAATAAAAAATGAATTTTTACTATGAACCATTGTATGATGATTTGTACTATGAACCATATAATGAACCACTATATAATGTACAATAATAGAATAATATTGCATGATATAACTTTTATTATAATTCTAACATACTTGTAATACTTATTTAATAATGTTTCATTCTTTGCTGCTGTAGAGAGCCAATTATTTAAGGATTTAACAGATAAATCTGGAAGGTCATATTCTGTTTTAAAAGAATATGATTTATACCAGGTTGGTCTTACATGGATATTTTTATTGGCAGAACTGAGATCATACATCCAATTTTGGTAATCAGCTACTTCCTGTAAGAAAAGAAATTTGAACGTCTATTTGCTATTATTTTTATCCTAAATTAAAATAAAAAAAAGTTATTTGTACATTTTTATAATCCAATTAATTTGTTATCATATCATAAATGAATGAAAGAACAACTTACATAATTACTGCAATTTACTATATATATTTTATAATTTGGATTCAATTTTGAATAAGCTGTTATACTACCACCATTCCAGGCAACATTTTTTGCTTTCATACCAGAATTATAAAATATTGCTATTTCATCATTATGAGTATGTCCATTGAATTCAGCTTTAATTATATGGGAAAATCTATCAACTATTCTTAAATATTCTCGTTTCCATGTCTTAAAACAGCTATTACTATTAGAGGGTATATGAGATAAAACATGTACAAATTCATCATTCCTCTCTGCTTCAGAAAGAATAGTTGCAAGCCAATGTAATTGATTATCGGGATCTTGCGGATTATACCAAAGCCACCTGTATAATAAAATAATTGAAAGAAATACGAAGAAAATCAATCACAAAATAAGTTATAAAATAGAATATAATTTTGATACATATTTTACTATTTTTCTACTATTTTCTCTTCTGCTAGTAACATTCTGTATAATAAAATTTATACAATTATAGCATTGTATTCATTTCACATACCAATTGTAAGAATAACACACATTGCTATTTAAAGCTATAATTCTAAATCCTCTTTTTGGGACAACAGTGTAATATCCTCCTTGAAGTATAGTAGAACGAGTATGTTCTGGTAACCATCCATATGCAATCCATAGGTCTGCCATTAATTTATAAAGCCAACTTGTAGATAAATTGTCTTGCGTAATATTTTTTGGTGCGAACCTATAATTTAGAATAATTATAAAATATAATTTAGAAAATCGTCAATTATAACTAAAATAATATTCATTTACAGATCTAAAATATTTTTGTAATAATTCGTATAATTTCGTAATGTTTGTATGAAAATTTACAAAACAACTCGGGGAATGAATTTCAAAATACAGAATTTTGTAAAAATATATCTTATTTTGAAACACAATAAATAAAGAAACATTAATTTCATTAATTGAACGAATGTAAATTTTTGTTTATCTTTTAGAAAAGAGTGAGTTTATTTTACATAGAATCATTTATCTAATCTGATAAATTTATATACAAGTGTTATTAAATATTCTTTGTGTATAGTAGAGAATTTCATTGGAAATTTCAATAAACTTACTGATTTAAAGGATTTGATTCATGATTTCCAAATATTGGATATATTATAGTATCATTAAAAGTATCATGAATATATTCATAAATTTTTACAAGACTTTGTACATTTCCTTCTTTTGAAGTTTCCCATACTCCATGGTCTATAATATCACCAGTAAAATATATAAAATCTATATCCTGGGAATGAAATTAAATTTGATTTAAAATTAAAATTAAAAATCCATTTTTTAGCCATATTTAATATTTTTTGTATAAATCTTACTATGCATAGTTATCTACAATAACTAATTTAGATTTGAACTGAAGTAGAAGGAAAAATAAAAGTAAGATTTTAAGATTATATGTATTTTAGTTAAATATCTTATGAATACTAAATGAAATATACATTAATCAGACATTAGCTGGATTTTGTTCCTTTTTTCTATACTAAATTAGTTACATTAGAGATTACCTGATGTGTATATTTTATATGATTTAAGGCATCAGTGATTGCATGCCATGGGGTATCGCAGGAGTTATAATCTCCCCAAAAGCCAGCAAACGAAGTCATGTTAGGTTCATTTTGTCCTTTTCGACAACAAACTGGTTCTCTACAAATTGAATTGCCATATGGTTCATAAAGAGGATCATAATGTAGGTCTGTTATTTGTAAAATTTTTATTTGCTCTTGTGTTTCATTATCAGTAATTATTGCATTAGAATTGTTATCAACGTGAATATTCCAATCAAATTCAGGATCGCTTAAAGGACATGATTTTGATTCTAGAACAACGCCACAAACTGTATTTGCTGTTAAATTTGGTTTTGAATCTATGATGTACAGAACAATAGGCTATAAAAATAATAGAAAATTAAAATAATTTATACATTAATAGTCAAATATTTTGATAAATCTAATTACATATGTACATATTACCAAGTTCAGTTCAACAACTCCTCTACAAACTCTTTCGGTTTGAATATTGAGCAGTACACATAATTTTACTATTTTATCTTTTATATCTTCTTCTGACATTCCTTTACGTCGTAAATTGAAAAATGTTTTTAAAATTCCTCGACATATTGTACATATTTTAGTATCAGAATTTGCTGAAAAAGATCTCCAGTCAGAATTCTGAAGTTCTGTAGGAATTTTCAAGGATTTTATCATATCATTGAACAATTCTCCCTCATAGTCCAACTTGGTCCATAATTCAATTTCATTTGAAAACGAATTCACATCTATATCTGTTGATGAATCAGTTCGTTATTCTTTATTTTATTATATAGAGAAGTATTATAAATATTTACAATATATTGTTTTTATTGAACAATTGAAAGGAAGTTTATTCTCTATTAATTTCAATTAGCAGAAGAAAATTGGGTTGAATTGCTGAATAATTACCGCTTTATCGATTCCGATACCGTTGAAATATGTTATCAAGATCATCATTCTGAACAACTTTTTCATATACATACGACAGGATGATTCATCTAAGTGTTTAAGCTGAAATATTTTTGATACAATTAATTGGATCAAAAAATGTTTCAGACAAAAGTAGAATGATTTCAAAGGGGACATGGTCTGATGTTATTAATTTTTCTGTAGGTGGGCGCGTAAAGGATATGCAAAGGTCCTGTCACAGGATGGTCAGTTCTAGTTCTCAAGTTGTACACAAAAGTGTGTTTAATATCAGATATGTGCATACTTCCTTTCCATGTTCTATACAAAATTGTAGATTAGATATTACAATCATTGTCTGTGTATGCGTATGTGTGTGTTTCCAAATTATAATTGTGTTGACGTAGTCGCGCTATTATCGGTATTGCGCCGCTACTATCCTTTAGATAGCCCAATCCTATTTACGTACCCCTTTACATTTGGAATTCAGTGACTGGAATTCTTATTATTTTTTTCATTGCTTATACGTTACTATGAAGATATTTAAAAAAATCCCGCTAGAATTCATGAGGAGGTAATAAATCGACAGATTCACGCGGCGCATACGATACCAAACATACTTTTATGTATAACTTGAAAACTAAAACCGACAACCCGTTATACGTACCGGAAAAAAATGTTCAAAATGATGATGCTGATAACATATCTCAAGAGCATCTATCAGGCATCTCTTAAATAGTAAACATTATTATTTTCATTGAAAAATAAAAGCAGTTTTATTATTTAAAATATACTTAGCCAATGTTGAGTATTATGTTGAATAAATTTCCAATGAAATAATTATTTAAATAGAGAGTTCAAATAAAAAACGCAAATAAATTATTTGTTATTTGGGTAAGTCTAAATATATTATTTAGAATAATTAAATTAACTGATATTTACAAATGAAGTGTTATCTTTTATTTATGATTTTCATATATTTTAGTTATTTATTACACAAATATAACATTTCAATCAGAGAAATTACTGTAAATTACAATTTTTGATAATGTCCATTAGCTATGATGAATACATCAAAATGAAATAGATACGGAAAAATTCTTTATTTGTATATTATCATTCGTTTTTCGATTAAAGCCAAATAAAAAATAAAATTTCATTTGCAAATAAGAAATAATAAATAGATTAATGTTAGCATCTTAAATTACTTTTGTTTAAATTCAATTAAAAGAAACTTAATTCCTATTCACAGCTAAAATATTATTTTAATTTGTTATTTATTATTTAGTAGGTAAATAAAATTTTGAACTTAATTAACCAGAAAAAAACTGATTTAACCCTACCTTCTGGATGTCGGACGAGACCATTTATACTTAAAACTAATATACTCAAAATTAATTGTTGAAACCACATTACTGTTGTGTTCTACGAACATTCAATTAAACACTGCGTTCAGTTCGATACATTTTCAATCGTTTTCAGCTTTCATTATCTCGTTTCAGTGATTTTTTTTCCCACTGATAAATATCGCAATTGTCATCTCCTTGATATGCCTATTTCCCAATGCTTGTAGAATAACATTCTAAGATTGTGAAATAATTAGAATTTAAACGGAGAAAAAGAAGAAGAGTCTTGTACACTATATTGTATTTAATTTGATTTAGTTTGAATACTTACGTTCGGCATTCTAATCTATTTTTGATAAGTCAGAGGAGACGATCAATACAATACGACACGATACAATACAATACAATATAACATTATCATGGCAGTATGTGGATTTTATCTTGTGAAGTATTCTTTGTTTGTATACGACTTACTTTATTTCGTACGAAAAGATGTAAGCTTATAAAATGATATCTATTTTTATCACAGAACACTCTGAAAAATGCGATTAGATTATTTCATGTAGACTCTTTAACGTATCAATCTTTCTGCGTAAGGTTCATAGTAATAACAGCTGTCAATACCATCAAATACTATCTTCATGTTGATTTGTGATAAGATAGGAATCAGATTCTTCTGGCTGATCGATTACTTTCTCTTAAGCGGACTTAAATACATCATTTTTTAAACATAAAGCATCAATCAAAATCAATTGATTGATGTTCCATTCTATCTAAAATTAATCTATTACTTAAATGTAAAGTATTAAAATTATTTGGCCAACAATAAGTACCGTATTTAAAACGGCGTAGATGACAATGAATAATCAAGAATCGCATGAATATTTATACTGGTTATCGATAGCAAACATGTGAAGATTAAAAGTTCATTTATACACAACCGAACTATGTCCGTTCTGTGCCCCTGCCGCGGCCCGTGCCCGAATCGGTCACCATAGTTTTAAATGTAGCACTTCATACATTATCAGTGTTGTGTCCATTCGTCATCCGTGGTCCGGATGTATCCCGGACATATTTTTTCTGTTCACCGAGCGGGCTCGAACTGTCACAGCCATAGTACGGACTTTTATAAAACTGGGTTTATACCAGTCAAATAGCATTTCAGTCCATTGTTCTAATCCAGCGATGGATCTTAACTGAAGTAATGTAAACAGCGTTTTCATTCCAGTACAATGTAGTCATCCCAGTAAGCGATCTAGTTCAGTGACTGGATCGAAAGTCTACTTTTCAAATCCTCATCGATCGAGAACATGACATTCCAGCGTTACTGGAATCGTTTGGATTCTAAATGGCTCAGTATTCATGGCTCAGTGTGAACCCATTGTCACTGCAGTTTACCACTTTCAGCGGCACGAACAGGACTAGAATAACATAGACATCGACCGATTGTCATTCAAACAAATGGGATATAATGTTTGGACTAAAGTTGGGTTTACACTAATTCAGTCGATGGATTCAGTGATTGCATACCAATGGTTTAATTGAAAATTGTTCGATGTCTACGTTGTTTCAGTCTTTTCTGAACTGCTGAAAGTGGTGAATTGAAAGTGATAATTTACAAAAAAAAAAAAAAAAAACTGATAAAACGATATATGAAACATAATATCGCTATAATATAAAGTTTGAAGAATTATTATCCTTAATCTCAAGTAACATTTAACGTAACAACACAAAAAGATCAACAAAATCAATATTAGAAGTCACATTATCTTCCCTGACCGCTGGAAGTAATTATAAAAACCTCGGTCATTTCTTCGGGATATCTAAATCCTCTATATAAAAATTTGTACCAGAGGTCTGGCGCGAAATATGTAGAGCATTAAAAGGTTAGTTTAATCTGATTATTATTAATCATTGAAATAACGCAGATCATTTAATCGATATTTCGTTATCACGCTTTGAATTTCTTCTTGAGCTACGATACCTTGTTCAGTTGAAAGTTTTCGTAATTGTTTTGCAACGTGCTTTCCGAAGACATCGAATTCATCTTCTTCTTCTGCTCTGCATATGTCATTCTGTAGCAATTTCGCGCTACTAACTATTGAAGATAGCCGTGACATTTTATTCTTTTTTGATTTCGTTTTAGGCGATTCTATTCCAGAACATATAGTAGGGGCTGCAGTAACATTATTTTCTGATTCAGACTGGGTACTGTCATTATTGTCCTGAAAATACAATTTTTAATTTTTTTTTCTTTTTAATTAAAAATTAAAATCGAACAAGTTGACTCGTGACTAGTTGTGAGAAATCGACATAGAAGGAAAGAAGGTTCTCGTTCTACGTATGAATGACATGCTACGAATATCTTAGACTGATACAGAGACACTCTACTCATCTCTGTCTATCTCGCAAGAACGAGAACTTTCTTGTTTTCAATGTTGATTTTTCATGACTCAATTATCGGACGGTGTTCTCTAGCAAGTGCCGAGGCCTGTTTACATGATCGTGCCCTCTGCAACTGGTTATGAAAAAATACAAGCTCATATATTACTACAGGTTGTGTAGTAATATATAAACATGCCGGAAAGATGATACCATTAACTCTATTTTCGTTCATATTGATTGGAGATATCAAATTAATCCTTTTGAGAATATCACTCATCAGGACAATAATAATTTTACTTTGCCTGTCGGACAAAAAAGATCTCAGTTTACAAATTACTTGGCAATAACGGGAAACTTCTATGGCAGAACAACATGATACATTAATACATATCTACATTTCTTTTTTTAAATAATAAATAATAAATAATAAAGGTTATTAAAAATTGACTTACGTGCGTTTTTCTTTTCACCACCACATTTTTTATAAAAGAGTCCAGCTCTGTAAACCATTTCATTTTAGGTTCATATACATTGCCACTAGCACCAGATGTAGTTGACCTTTTAATCTTGTCTAATTCTAAGTAGTAAGTAGATCGAATAGACTTTATTTTATTTTTAACATCTTCCACGCCAAAACCTTCCATTTGCATATCTTCGCAAATCTTTTTCAAGGCAGATTCACGCATAGCCTTATTTTTATAATCTTTAGACGCGATGTCCCATAAGCACTCATGCTCTCTGTACAGAGTAACGAACTTAGAAGTTTGATTTTTGTTTAATTTTTTCGCCATTTTTAATTAAAAACACAAACTCGTGTACACTGTACTATGCTCCAACCAGCAATGGATATTGAACTGTCTAAACGATTCCAGTAACACTGGAATGCCGTATTCTCGATGGTGGGGGGGGGGGTAGGTAAACTGGATTAAAAAGTAAACTTTAGAACCAGTCGTTGTGCCGGATTGCTTACTGGAATGACGGCACTGTACTAGAATGAAAACAAATGGATTGGATTATTGAACTGGAATGCTACTGGGCCAATATAAATTCAGCTCAAGATGTAATAATACATCAAACCGATTGCTCTCATCTGGATCTCGTATTTTACTTTTAAGTGTTGATTTCATACTAAACTGTTAAATAAGGAAAAGAACACAATCTAACAACATTTCTTGGAAAGACGCGGAAGACGGTATTCTTGTGTTTACGTTGTCTTTATCTTTTATACGTTAAATTTGACAAATTAAAGTTAAAATATCTGCTAAATTAATTGTTTTCCAACATAAATAAGTATTGATACTTCCTTATAGATTAATGTATTAAAAAAAATGTATGGTTCCACTAAAAAGATAATAATGGTCTTGAAATCTTACTAAAAAAGATGACTTTCAGAAAAAACATTATATACCATTGCCTATATCCAGGGGTGGGCTGGTCATCGGGAGTTTGAGAAAATTCCCGGTGGACCGGTAGAGATCCGGCACCGCTTTACATAGAATTTAATTAATTAATAAACTAACAATGGAGGGCCAATCATGCCGATAAAATTTTAAGTCCTGTCTGTTTCCTTCGAAATACTGTAACTTTGAACTGTGGAACTTTTTCATACAACCATTGATAATGGAGATATGTAGATGTCCCAATTTATATGCCCCAGCCTGTATAATTGCTATTTATACTATTTATAATTTAAAAGAAAAATTTGATAAAATCATAAACCTTATAACTAGCAATAAAACTTACTTTAGGTAGTAAAACATTTGCAAATTAAATTCATATAAAAACAATGTATCTCGCTTAAATTGAACATTGTTCACTAATTAAGGAAAACAAACAATTAACTTCTTCATTGTCGATATATGAGTCATCGTGTAAGAACGTAAAGGTTGTGATATATTGATAAGAGCTTTCATTCCTCCGGTAAAAAACATCATTCGATTCAAAAGATCAGTCAATTTTCATTCAATAAGAAATGAGTACGTAAAACGCATTTCATCATATTGATATATCACCATGTTGTAAATCTCGCTTTTTATTACCAGAATGTGTGATTATTGAAAAAATTCGGCAGATTTTTTCAAAAGATTCAATAAGGATTATATTGTTATGAGTTCCCAGAGTACTAGAACAAAAATATATGACTATTATTAAAGAAAGAAGTTAAAGAAAGACTTAGAAAAGCTTTAGAGAGAAGTAATAAAAATAATTACATCCTTTTATAATATATAGGGTGCCCCGCTTAACTCTGACACCTTTAATTGCTTTCTTATTTTTCGTGGTACAAAAAAAATGTTTCAAGATAATATTATTGTACTTTACGTGGAAAATTAGGCGGTGATTATTAGAACTGCCATTTTAGATTTCGATAATCGTTTAATACGTTGTCGGGGGCATGATTCTAAACAACTTCGTTCTATACATGTTACTACTGCTCGGCTTAATTTCCGAGTTATTTATAAAAAACTGTCAGTATAATTATAATGAACTTTACCTATAATTGTGCGTCCGTGACAGCGTATGCGTTACTATTGGCTGTTGACTGTTATTGTTACCTTATTTGTAATTTCATAGGAAAATTTAGTTTTAATTTAAATCACAACAATACTGAATCGATAACATCGCATGCGACACGAAAATGGTAATGGGAAGTTGGATGATCCTCAAAATGTAGGACATGAAATAATATTGATCCTATCACACCTATTCTGTACATCTCTGTAGATTGTCGGTGGTGCTAAGCATATGATAAGCGCAAGGAACTCCAGTTATTAGCTGGCAGATGTTGACTTCAGGAACAAATTCACGTGAGTCATTGATATCATTGCTAGAGACACTGATATGCATATATATTTATCAGTGACTAGTGGCTGGAGCCTCCTTTGACCTTTTGGGTTTACATAGATATACCTATTATAAAGATAGAGGAGTGGATGAACAAAGGCAATATAGGAATGAAAAGGTGATATAGGAATAGAAAGAGAATGCTGCTAACAGGCTTCTTTTGCCCTTGTCTAATAACACTCATAATGTTCATAATTCATAATTGAAAGTCGTTATTTATTTTGTGTTCATATCTCTGTGGTATTTGTATTTATTTCATAAGTTATATGGGTTATATGGGTTAAATAATTTTCAGCTAAATTTCAGCATGACTAAGAAATGCATAATATGTAAAACAGAAGCGACTCCAATTTCCAAAGATAGACGTAGCTTTCACATGTAAGTGTATTTATGATTTCTTGCCTCAAAATTGAATAAAGTAATTCTTATCATAAACGTACATAGGTTTCCTAAAAATGAATTAATAAGAAAGAAATGGATGGACGCAATAAATTTATTGACAGCTCCAAACTTCAAAACTACATTTATATGCAGTGACCATTTTGATGACAAATCGTTCCATGATTCTGATGAATTAAGAAGTAGAAAACGACTGCGTCCAGATGCGGTTCCTCAAAGGATAAGTTTTAAAAAATCCGGTAATTATTCAGAGAAGGGTATATCTCGCAGATTTCACAATCTGAACTTCATTGAAGTTCTTCGCGAATATTTTGGAAACTAAGACTGAGCAGTGATTATACATAAATATAGGAAAATGTTATTCAGACTATTAAACTTGACAATATATCTGAAGATCATTGAAATCAGTTAGATGTACCCTTTTTCGAAATAATTACCTAAAGTCAACCTCATCTAACAGTGGCAAATCTGTTGCAATCATTTGCAGCTAATCAGTTGCAAAAGAGCATTAACCAATATTATTAATTCTGCAAATATAGATGATACATCAAAAGAAAAAGATTTAGAGCCAGAAAAGCTGTTTGAAAGACCCATTGATAAAGACTATTCTAAATCTGAGATGGTGACTGATCTTTCTAATACATGTATTAAAGCCACAAATGAACAAGATTGTTTAACTGGAGAGAAAAGTAATAATACTATGAATAATGTTCCAAACAGTGGTAATAGAAGGTAGATTATTCACTTTGTAATAATTGTTCAGATGTTCATGATTGGACTGGTCTAAAGAGGGTTGTAGAAATTAATTTCGATCTTGTTGATATCATGAATTGTATGTGATTCTCTGTAAGAGTATACAATTTTTAAATTGTTCTTTCCGATGTAATTTTAGGAAACATTCATTCATCAAAAAAATACCACCTAAAAAAATTCGTTTTATGAATGGCTTTAAAACAGAATATATAACTCGAGAAGACTTTGTTTCTGATGAAGCTTGGGAGCGCTTCCTCAGGTTAATAACCTATGAAAGAAATAGAATGGCAGCTGCTCATAATAGGAATTCACGTAAAGAAAAGAAAATAAGAAATTTTAAACTTTTCATAAAAGGTTTGGAAAACAGTGAAGAACTTGATGCTACTCAATACGTGAAGGTCTGTTTAGAATAACTATTTTATATTTCTATTTTATTATTTTATTTCGTTATTACGTAGTTCTTCCGTTTTGGGTTTGGACGGACTTCAGATTTTACGATATTGCATACTTTAAGTTTTTAATTCTCTCTTGTATTCTTATATGATTTTATATTATCACATATTTATTAACTTTGACTACAATTGTCTTTGTGAATAAAACATGAACGAAATTTAATCATTTTTTACATTTATTTTAGCAGGACCTACCACCACATGCCCAAGAATTATTAACACTTTGACGGCCACGTTGGTCATTGGTGCATCTAATGGTGCCTTGTGTTAAAACATTGTGGCGTTCCTGAGCGAAACGTGATTTCGGCGTGGCCGTTGAAGTGTCAACATGTGTGGAAGAACATAAATCCACAACTCCCTTTCCTATTAACCTCAAAAACTTTACTAGAATTCTTTACTTTCATTCACTGATTACATGTAAATTTGTTACATGTAGCTTTTTCAATTGCTTACCTTGTATTCAAACATTAAATATTTGGGTCTGTGCAGAAGAATATAAACCAAGGATTTGTAAAGAATTTATTAATAACGTATCTGGCATTGTTAGGCAAGAATTAATGAAGGTAAAAAATTGTTTTCAATGTAACTTCTGATGAGACGAGCATTAAATTCAAAACTTGAGCAACAATAGCATTGATGAATTTTTTCCGGTATTTGCATCTTTTTAATAGTTAGAAAAATGACAGAGAACAAAAATTTGAATTACTATTAATTTTATAAATTTATTAAATTGTTCTTTAATTATAAATTTATTAAATAAAGAGGAGGATCTGTCATCATACTGTGGCGAATATCTTTTCAAGAGAAGATAATAACAATTATTCTATTTCGTAAAATAATATCAATTATTCATTTGCTTGTTATTTTATGCAAGTGTTGCCGGCTACCTCGCGACTGCCCGATTGAAAAAATTAACTAAAACCAAAGCCCAATATATATATTGATGTTATTGATTTTCAATTGAGTTATAATAGGCGTTTCTTAGAATATCCCACATGCATTTGTACACGAGGCTTTAAACTTGCCCAGCTATCGTTTGTACATATGTATACATACTATAAGCAGAAGATAAAAGTTAGGTTTAGGTTTGTATTCGTAGGCGTCTTATGCGGCTGTTTATCTCCACCTCTACCTCCGCCTCTACTGACTCGATGGCCTCACTGAATGGAGTATAGAGAAGAACATGATTACATAAACCACACACACACACACACACACACACACACACACACACACACACAAAGTAAATATTATATAACTAGTAAATATTAAATATTAAAAATTAAAAATACTAAAAATAGCAAATAATAAAGTAAATTTATTTGTTTCATAATACTATTATATTTTATATTTTTATGTTTTATAACCCCTAGGGTTATTTATAGTTATGTCTAAACTATTCTGATGAACACTTTAAACAAGCGAAGCACTATTAGGATAAGTTAAAACAAATTAATAGTATACAAAGTACTGTTACAAAACATGAGAAACTTCGATATCATCAAATGCGAGATCGTCAAGCATTTCTTCAAGAGTAATTTGTGGACAATTGGGATCAGATAACTCATTAGTATCAACTGGAATTAATTTCCTAGAATCTTTGTAAATATTTATGTGTTGTCTCATTTCTGGATCTTCTTCAAGATCTTCCAAAAACTCATAGTAGTCACTAAAATAGATTATAATTATAAATTTAATTTTTCAATGTAATTTAAGAAGTAAAAGTAAACGGAAATATATAATTTTGCTTTATACTCAGTTTTAAATATCTAAAATAGTAGTTATTTTTAAATAGAAAATTATATAACTTACTTATTATCTGTGGCCATATTGTCTTTATCTTGTATCATATGTTTTAATTTCCAATCTCTCATTCTGCGACGTGCTGCTCTATCTTGTGTATAATTTTTTTTGGTTAAAATTACGTCTGGTACTACGTCTTTATTCAACATTTCGAAATTCTCATCATTAATGTTACTATCATTAAGAGCATACCTAAATATAAAATCATCTTTTAATTTTTGTCAATTATATTATTTATTATTTAGCGCTTTATCTTTTTTTATCCTTTTCTTTTACCCTAGGACAGTATCACCAGGTTTTAATATATGGCCAAGGTGAGTGCGTGTATGAATTAAGTTCTCAGTTAGTCCCAAATCGCAACTTCTAACTACCCATACATCTGCTATTACATGCTAGAAACAAAGATATGACTGTAAGTAAAGATTTATAAATCTGTACCGATTACCGAGGGATATTACAAAGGAAAGTTTTCTTTGACGTTTTAAAATTTTGTTTGTAATTTTGTTAATAATATTCATAGTACGTATGTAATTTTATAACCATTTGGTTATTTTATATTATTTTAGTCTCGACCGAGAAGAATTCTTCCCTTGTAAACATTATATTTGAGAGAAAATATTATAATTAGATACATAATAGATACCTTATTTGAAATAGTTCCCTGTCCAGGAAAAAATTTTCTATCCTTGAATTTTATTTGCTCAATATCCATTACTGTGTATTCTATTAATTGCTTTGGGTCACAAATGCTGTTGAAAGTATGTCTCCAGTAAAGTGTAGCGCTTAATTCTGCGACTAAATAAATAAATAGTATTTTTTGTGAATTAAATTTTACTTTAGAAATCAGATAAATAGGTATCAAATTTTAGAGAACTACACGTACTTTGACCAGTTGATACATCTATTAAATGTACAAAATTTGTAATTTTATATACTAAACAAATTGAATTTATCCCTCCGAGTTGATGACTTAATTTTCTTGGAAGACATACTATGCTATCTCTTGATATTGGGACTATTTCCACACTATAACAGAAATTACGATTACACGTTCAAAACAATTAGAGGATCGTTATTATGAATGGTTCCATTGCATAAACCAAGTGAACAGAAGCGGTGGAATCATGTAGGTGAATTGACATGTTATTCATATGATGCTCTGGTAAAGATTAGTTCTTTACGCAATTAGAAAAAGATATATAGACACAGGAACTAAATATAAAAAACGAAGCGGCGAAAAGCGATCTGGTATCAGATGCAAAAAATGGGCAGAAAAGTATTTAAAAAATTGTAATGTATAAATAACTACAAGCAATCAACTACAAGCAGTCTAATGGTTAATTATATAATAAGGAATAATGAAAGCATTCATATCCAGTATTTTATATCAATTTACTAATGTAAACGATCTTTACCTGTATGTAACTTTATAATTGTAAATATTGCTGTGAATATCATGCGATATCAGTTTTTTAGAATGGTCATAGCGACAAGGTATAATGCTTGAAAGAAAATCAACCATTTTGCGCGCTGATGCTTCATTTGCATAAAAGAAATCTAGACCCTCTGTAAACGTTTGCAATTAATTTAATAGATTATTATATTTAGTAAGTAGAAACTTTAAACTCTTTGATAATTTATCTAATAATATTTTAATAATAATAATTCTAATAATATTTAAAAAAATAATATTATAAAATAATTCAGATTTCTTACCATGAATAGGTTTTATGCCCAAAGTTTGTTCATGTGCTCTGTACTTCAAAATTAATTGCTCTAGATAATAAAATGTCTTTTTATTTGTTGCTCTTTGTCGTACTTGTACCTTTGTAAAGTGTAAGTTGTAAACAGAGAAAATAATTTTATTACCACAAGTGAAATTTACCTTGCTCTTTTTATAAGGCTAATTAAAATATATCAGGTGGGAACGATATAAGCATGGTCGTAAATTAAAATCTAAGAAGGTACACTCATTGACATCACATCTAGGGCAGCAGCTGCTTTTCAGAGGCAATTTAAATTTCGAATTGTAAAAGTTATTTGCAAATTATATTCTGCTCATAATCGTCCATAAAAGCTATATGACATCAAGTATTTGCCATTCCTGGCGTGATAAGAATTACTATACTGATAAAAATTAGCTTGTTAGTTACCATGGACCAGAGCACACATTTTTGAAATAGCTAAATCAATATTATAACTCTTTTAAAAGTATTTGAGCAAATTACGTGTTTTGACACTGAAAAGCTTCTTCTCAGTTTTACAACCATGCTATATACCTTTTACGCATAGTACAAATCTTACCAATGCACGCCAATAATCTTTAGCTTCTGTTCGATGACAATCATTACACATTTGATGATTTACTGTATATTCAACTACAAATACTTGTTGCAAGACTGTTCCCCCCATAACTTCAGCTTGCACTGTTAGTTTTACCTAAAGATACAGTGTAATAATAAAATGATTTTTTCACAATAAAACTATTAAATAATAAATACCTTTAATCTCATAGAATGTGGTTCTGTCCACACAAATCCAGCATCAATTAATTTCACTCGATTCAGACCTTTTAGCTTTTTTAAACATAATGTTAGTAACTCTCTGGATTCTAATGCTGCATGAATCCATTCCGCAGGTGGCTGTAGATACCTAAAACAATTAAACTTTCCTTACCTTGTAAGTTTCAGAGAAATAATTGAACAAATATATAAAAAGGTTTAATAAACAGAATGTTCACAACAGCAATATTATTACTGCAGTACTTTATAGTAATATAGGCTATAAATGTAAATATATACAATATAGGAATAATTATAATACATTTTTAAAAGCTCAACTTCAATTTTCATATCCTTTTCATATCAGCTGCATAATTTTGTTGAGAAATAAAAGATGAAACAATATTTTGAATAAGAAAGATCTTATCATTTCCTTTATGTTTATTTTTCCTACCGTCTTATTTAAAAATTAACAAATAGGAAAATAAATTGTATTATATTACCTCTCGCAGCCTTTACAAAAATAAATTGTTGCTTGCTTTGGAATATTCTCAGTGACATCTACTTGAGTTCGTAAACATGCCACACACATATTCGCTGGATTTGGTTCAATACCAATACCGCAGATGCAACATAATCTAAAAATGTAATTATTCGTAATTTTAATCACATACGGTAGCATTCCAGATAATTTGTTGACGTTATGTTTTTCTATTTACTAGAAATAAAACAAGTACTTAATAGTTACATCGTTTTAAAAACATTTTATTCTGATCTTCTTTAAAAATTTACAAATATAATAACAACAAATTATGAAATTTATCTATTTCTTATAATACCTAATTTAAGGTTATATTTA